ATGATGAAGAACATGAACTCTGTTATATGTATCTGATATAACAGCTGCTTTCACTAAGGAAAGAGCTCCAACACCCAAGACAGCATGGACTGTATTCTCCTTGCCTCTACCCTCTTGTCCTCCCCCAACCCCAGCATATAGAATGAGACAAAAATAATATTAAAAGACTTTGAATGAGCAAGGACACCTTCTGCCAAATTTGGTCATCTGCATGTATCAGAGTGTCCCAGAGGCCAGATGAACTAGAAAAGCAGTAGAAAAATCAATTCCACAGACTATAATGAATGCTGGGATAAAGTATCTTGCAGCAATTGACATATTTTCTTTTGTGCAAATTTAATTTCTCATAAGACCATTTTTCTTTGTCTCTGAACCAACAGTAACAATTTATAAAATGCTGCATAAAAATATTAAGCAAAACGACTGCTGATAAACAAATCACTTCTTTTTAAAAAGTCTCTAAGTCAGTCCTCCACGGAGAAAAATATTTCAATATGGAAAGCTGTTTTCTCATATAGGAAAGGTGCAGCCCTAAATAAAAAAGTTCCCTGTGACTATACTTGCAAAAGCCAACATAAAAGCTTCACTAAATTTTGTTCTGCCTTAGGAGGCAACGAAGTGCAGCTAGGACATTGATCAGCTGTTTTTGCCAAATTAATGCAAAAGTGTTACTCATCTGTAAAAGAAAATGCAAGTCACAGGAACTGCTGGTGCCTGAAATAAAAAAAAGTGTAGCCGTGTCGAACTGGTTATCGAAGAAAATGAAGGAGAAAGGATGTAAATGAGATATGGAAAATCCTAGAATAATATCCCAAACCAAAGCCTGAAGAAAAGGACCTTCAAATGAAGATAATCACTACAGATAGAAAAGGGAGGGCAGAACCTCAAAACCAAGTACTTGCTGTGTTTTGAAAAACTAACCCTTTCTATTCACAACAGATAGTAGCACATTAGTTATGATCTCTAAAAGTGCCTCGGCATTGATGCATGGTGGAAAGGAAGATTATCAGTTGGGAAATTTACTTCCCTGCTACCTTTTCAGCTTCACATCATTCCACTAATGATCTCATTTGGGGCTATATATTATGGTCTAGTACCCATTAATTTCACTTTCAACTCTGGGATAAAAATTAAAGCAAGAAGAAACGTAATCAAATCTAACTTTCTTTATACTTTCCATTTTCAGAATTGACAATTATTCAAAAAAAGAAATTAACACATTATTCAAAACTCCATTAAACTGGAAATAACCAGCTGTCTAAATACCTGCCTCTGACTAGAAATCAGAATTTAAGTCTAGAGTTCAGACTGACAGTGCAAAGATGGCCAAAGACTCAAAAAAAAGCCTTACATGAGCTGTAGCACAGTCACCCACACCTTCACTGAAAATTTCACTGCAGGTCCTCTCCACAGCAGAGGAAGACTGTAGCACTTACCCTGTTTATTCCCATAAGCCACAAAAAGGAAAAGGAGGCCAAGACCTCATATTAATAGCAAAGGCAGATGAACAAATGGTTAGCACAATAATGTAGAACAGAGGGGAGCAGTCCCAGAACATAGTGATTCAAGACGCCTGCTACCTACTACTGTGGATTTTTTTTCCTCCAAATGCAAGTTATTACCAAAGGGCTGAAGGGGTAAAAAGCAGAGGTGCCAAAGTCCTACAGGGACTCAATACTACCATCCTCACTACATACAATTATGTCTTAGGACTGTCTTTTTCCACCAAAGAAGTTCAGTTACTCTATTCAAATACACTTCCATTTCATACTGTGTATTCAACTTGGTTGACTCTTTCGGACTTTTTTTACAGCATGGACTCCACCTCAATAAATTCTCATGGACAACTATTTCTTTTTGCCCAGCCTTACAAAATCATTTTTTCCTCCTACTGTGATCATTCAAAATTCAAGGTGCTTAAATGAAAAGGAAACCAATACTCAGAAAGAACCATGCCATTTCTTTCCAATAGGTTGAAACTTCTCCCAGTACTGGGATGGTGATCTCACTTTTGAAATCGTGACAACTTTACAAACTGCAACACCAAGCACATGCATTACACTTCAATAACAAGAGACCAGGAAGTAAGTCAGAAGCTGAACACATATTCTCAGAGGAGTTCAAATTATATAAATGCAGCCCTCAGTCCACTACCTGCTTATACCTAACATATACATATCTACCTGCAGAGACGTAGTTTTATTTAATTTCAAGCTAACCTACATTATAAAAATTAAGAATTTTTCATCAATCTGCTTTTCAAGAATATAAGGTTCTCAATGTGTTTCCTCCCTCTACCGTTATTTGACATCTCCATTTATACCATTCCTACCATTTAAATTTTAACACATACTTCTACATAGGGACAGCACAAACCTGAATTTTCAAATCCAAATGGCAGAAAAAGACAGAAGCTAAGGATGTCATATTGATAGCTGTGTGCTAGCCTCTCAATCTGCTCTAAACTCCATTTACAGCCTTTGTAAATAGCCACAATGGCTAACCAAGAAAAAGGTCCCCAGCTTCTGTGAATCATGTTTCTGTTTTATACTGGTGAGGTTCCAGTTCTATACTCTTAATTGTCAAGACATTTCCACTAGAGACAGTAATATCTACCTTTAATCTGTCAAGTCTTCTGTCAGCAAAGTAAAAATAAAGCTGTATTTTATCACATCCTGTGTGATGATGGAAGTTTTTGGACTCTCAAAGTGTGATGTCAACCATATCTGAATGATGAATACAGACAGAAATTCTTAACATAACTGTATTCATCAGCTGTAGTTTCATGTCTTTACGTCTAACTGCAGCATCCTCTCCCACACCACTTCCATCCTTCCATTCTTGAAAAGCCTGTTAAATAATTTAGATAAAGCTTTCTAATTCTTTGTAGCAAAGAAATGGTTTTTTTCTATACCTTGCGGTTTGTTGGCACTATTGTATCATCTGTTATTTTCAACTAATCTGTTTAGTTTTACATAATATATTTGCAAGTCACAACACATACTGGGGATGATTTTAAGCAAGTAATAACATGGACCAGTTAAGTGAACATGTTACCGAGCTTACACACCTACTATTCTTTCCACTGAGGCACTAACTTAATTTTCCTCCTCCTGCCCAGACACTTTCTTTCATGAACTTAAACAATTACCTTTAAGACATCCACTCCACCGTCAAATTTGGCTGAACTAATTAATGAGTTCAAAAATTACCACAGCTGATGTCAAAAGACTATGTACCAGGACAATGACACACCATAACAAACAAACAAAAAAAAAACCCAATCAAAAAAAAGATTTAAGATGGTATTTGGAGGTAGGATGATGTATAATCAAGAAGCACAGAACTGCAACACTACAAAAAGCCAGACAGCTTGGATATGTACTCAACAACTTCACATTAGGAATCAGTGCAAATTATTTAGCTGCAAAATTCCAAACTAATCAAAGGTAATATTAAATGGTAAAAACTGAGCAAATATCAAGGTCCCTTTTATGAATTCTCTCTCTTTGGCTATACAAAACAAGAAATTAGTAGCTTGAAATTCACCTGATTCATTTGACTTTAAGGCGTCTTTGATTTGCTGTTTAATTTTCATTGCTTCTTCAGCAGTCAGGTCCCCTTTTTTCAGTGTCACCACTTGAGGCTGCTCATCTTCGTTGTCACTGCCGTTCTCACTATCACCATCTGCAAGTGGAAGCTGCTCTCTCTAGAAAAGAGAGAAATAAAAGCAATTCTCATCACCACTAAATCACAACCGCTAAGGGTGGGCTAGTTCTCTTTGGTTTCACTTTTGCAGTAAGGTTAGTGAGGAGACCTGGCACAGCTGTCAGTGCCAGGCCCTCCCAACACACACTGTCCAAACTTCAATTCTATCACTGAGACATAGCATCCCTGAGAAAAAACAGTATGGGTCTTTCAACTAGAGACCAAAACAGTAGGAACTTGGAAAGTAAGAAATTAATCCCTTTTCTTTATTATGTTCACTGTACAAGCACTGTCTGCCATGCAACACTAAGTCTTAAATGCATGGGTCCAAATTTGAATCTTCTACACTGTACTCAAAACAGAGCAAAGGGAAAGGGAGTCCATGGTGGCTTTGTTATTAAAGCTGCCTAACCAAATCATTGTAAGCATTATTGACATAAGGAAGACCATGTCCCTGTTTCCACTCTCTCAAACCTGTGCTCTGAGACAGAAGAATCAATAAACTTTCTGGCATGGAAACCTCAGCGCAACAACATAAAGTCTGGCAATATTAGAGGAATTGAAAACTTCGTCTTATAAGGAAAAGATAGTATTACCATAATCTATTGAATTATCAAGACAGAGACAAAATGCAATCTTCCTCGGGAAGTAAAACAGTTTGTACTAAATTTATTAAAGGCATACTTTCACCTCAAATTCCAGTTCATCACAAATTTATTTTCTTAACAAATCATTGTGACTGTTACTTTGCTGACCAGCCTGGGGAGGTTAGGTGATAATGGCCTCTTTAGCTTAAGATCCATAATATACTAGAATTTAACTTTAAAAGGCAACACAGGCAAATGGAGCAAGTGGTGAAAGTCAATACATTGTCTGTAATAAAAGATATTTTCACAAGTAAATTGCATATCCACAGTGGCACAAGGATGATTGAAATCAAGGCCATAACAATGAGCCACTGGTGGGTTTTTTTTGCTAGGTTAGTTTTCAGCTGCATACAGGTTAGGGTGGGATCATCCAAACGTGTGTGCAACTACAACTAACAAACAACATAACTGCACAAACAGCACTACCAGCTAATGGCAAAACATAGTTTAAATTTAAATTTCCTTAGTCATCAAAAAGAAACAACTTTGCATGTGCTATATGATGATAACAATGGGCCTCTTTCTTAAGGCAACCTGTGAAACCTTAGTTAGCAGGAAACACATGCAAAAGCACACTGGAGACAGAAAAAAACAGTGCCCTCCTAACAGGCTGCCTTTTAACAAGCTGGCTCAGACCCTACTGCCTCTGTCCTGCCTTCCTGGCCATCACACCACTTTGTGTCTGCTGACCTACATCAAGATGGTAACTCCTTTCCACTATGTATTTTTTACTATACTCTTAAAAAGCCTTTTTTTTCCCCTGCCCGGGCTTTGTAAGGCCAGTTAGACCTGGGACATCGTTGCCATTTCCCCCATTGCCCCCACAGACCACTTGGGCGCTGACAGGTTGGCACTGGCTGCTCTGCAAAGGGCACCATGACCACTACGGCTGCAATTATTAAAAACAGCAATGGGGAGAAGCACTGCAATTTGTTGTTTTAAATCGCCAACACAGAAGCAAAAGCAAGTTACCAAGACAGATTCACTTAATTTTAAGCGGGTAACTACCGCTCCCCATTCCTCTACAGGGCCAAAGTCCTGGAAGTGCTGCTTCCCCACCGCCTGCAACGGGACCTCTACCCCGCCTTCATTTTTA